TCAGAAGATGCCCTGGAAAAGGGTCTCTCTGACACCAGCGTGGGTTTTTCTGCCCACCCGGGTGCGTTTTGCGATGCCCCTGGGAAGAGGCGGCAGCGGGGAAATATCATCCTCTAGGAAACCCAATGCGTTCCAGTTATTTTTTATCTTTATATTAGCAAACGCCATCAAAACAAGCAAACAGTATTGTTTTGTCTCCGAGGTGAACTGACCCACTTACTTGAACATCAGTGTAAGGCATCCCCTGGTTTTAAGCCCTTGCTGAGCACACTGAGATGCTGGTAGGTAGGTTAGTACTGGAAAATCAAAAACATTAATCCCTGCTCCGGTACAAACTCAGAGCATCTCTTCTTGCCTTGATTCACCAGAGCAGCACTCCAGATTACCAAGGTATTCATTTCACAGCCAGCGTGTATATAACAGGTTCATACGTAACAGATCAACCGCAGGGTATTAGGCTGATGCCAGTGGGAGCCATGAATGCAAAGAAAATTAGAGAGAATTGAGCCCTAATGACGCTGTGGGGTTATTCCTACGCCAAAACAGTCAAAATCTGAAAACTCAGCACTGCAGCTCCGCCGAAGCAAAGCAGACAGATCCAGTACCCATTAACATTTATGCAACCTCAGAGGTAAAGGAGGTGTGGATGCAAGGAATTTGGCCTGTGGGTTTTATTTCAGCGCTCATATAATCTGACCTAATTTACCATTACCTAGCTCAATGGATTAATGGAACAGGGAGAGGCAATACCCAATGTGTATAATTAAGCCTGCCTTTTGTATTACTTCCTGGACCAAATTTTTTCATCAACTTGCCTTTCTGGTTTGAAGCCCCAGGGAAACAATGGGAAAGGCACAGCACATGGTGCTTTCAGGATTGACTGGTGGCACTGGGCAGAGGAGGCTGAAAGGATCCCACGGAGTTTGTTGTGTTTGGGCATGGCTCTTCTTTTTTTTTTTTTTTGTCCTTGTTTATAGCACTTTGCAAAATTAGATCCAGAAAGGAGTCAGAAAACCCTGGCTTGTTGTTCAGGGGATGTAATTTAAAGCTGGGTATGATCCTCCTCTGCCACCAACTCCTCACATGGCCTTGGTCGAATTGTTTAACTCTGATGGGCTTCACCACTTCTTCCGGGCAAGGTTTTGTGTGTTTAAGAGATGGTGAGCAAAAAGGGATGAGATGAGGGCTCTGCAAGTGGGGCCATGGCTGGCAGGCAGTCCTAGCCTGCTGTCACAGTGCAAGCAAATAAAAAATCAGCATTATTTGCCCCGGAGCAAGCGCAGCCAGCACATCTGGGGAAGCCAGGCTGCAGGGATGCCTCTCCAGCTTTGAAATGGGAAGAGGGGCATTTTAGCAAATAAACACAAAAATGCAAGAAGAAAAGTCCAGCTGGCAGACACGGCTCAGCCCTGCCTCCTCCTTCGTACCCCCACCCGCCAGAAAAGCGGGGTGCTCCGCCTCGATCAGCAACAGCAGCTCCCGTATCTGCTGGCCCCGGTACACGCTGCAGGCTGATATTTGGGAGGGTGCGGTGGGGAGGGCGACGTGTTCCCCCGAGATAGGGGCCGGGGCCCCTGCACACACCTTGCTGGGGCTGTCGGGGTCGACCCGCGCGTGTCCGAGAGGCGGTTTTGTCTTTGGAAGTGGCCGATGCCCAAATGTCCCGCTCACGGCGAGCTCGGCGGCGCTGCTCTGGGTCTCCATCGAGCTGCTTTCTCCAGGCACCGATTCAGAGCGAGCCTGATGATTTTAGCAGTGTGGCTTTATCCCAGATTTCCTCCGAATTGCATGGAGGGGGAAGAACAGCAGGATTTGGTGCTTGGAGGAAACCTTCCTCCCATGCCAAACGCTGGGAGCTCTCCGCAGCGGAGCATCCAAGCTAGAATTTGGGCTCGCTTCACCAGCACGAGCAACAGCCAGTGGGGAAGGTTTTGCTCCCACTCGTGATACTGTTAACTGTGGAATGAAATATATTCACAAACAACTAATATTTTCTCCACTGCTGCAAAGAGCATGCATCTGGAAATAATTAGCATGCACAAAACCAACTTGCACATTCCTCCTAGGCCTCCATTTTGTGTCGCCTGCAGACTCTGGCAATGACGTTTTTATCAGCAACTCCCCACTTTTGCATATTGTTCAATATTTCTAACACCCAGCCTGGCCCAGGCCAACCGCTGACCAAAGCTTGCCAGTGATGCAGAAACCATGCTTAGCCCTCAGCAAACCACCCCCCAGCGCAGCCTTTTTGTTTGCATGGTTTGATGGCAGTGCTGGCGCTTTTTTTTTTTTTGCTCATCTCCACAAAGCCTTCACCGCCACTGACATGCTCCTACTTGTGCCTTCGTCTCTGTAGATGACGGCAGCATCGGGAACCGCTTGCCCTGAAGCCATTTCCCCCAGAGTCACAAGTTGCAGCGACTACTTTTGGGTGGAATTCAGCTTGGAAAGGGACTGAGGGGCTGCCCACAGTTGCCGGGTTTTCAGCTGCGTGGCTACTGGGAGCCCATGCAATGCCAGGATGGGTCCCACCAGCCGGGTGGTTGAATGTCCACCGTGCTGAGCAAGGATGGGGAAGCCCTGAAGGGACACGTGCTCCTCGCTCAGTGGGACAACAGGCTCAGCATCTTCGCTGGGCTGAACCCCTGGTTGAGGTTTGCTCGCTCCTCCAAGCCCTCGTGCTGACACCAGCGCCGGGAGCTGCCCCAGGGCTCCACGTTTCTCCTGCAAAACCAGAGCAGGTCTAAGAAGTCCTTCTCCCCGGAGGTCCTGTCATTAGCTCGGTATAATTCCCCGTCCCAGAGCTCCTGCTTTCTTGCCCAGGGCCGCATCCAGCTGTGCTGGGGATGGGTTGCACAGCAAGCACAACTTTCCCTGCAAGATTAATACTCTGTGCTCTGCTTCAGTCCAAACTAACAAGGGATATAGACCCACGGACAAGAGGTGCAACGCTTAAAAAGCACTTTAACTGTTGTGAGAAAACACACTGGAGACAATTAGTTCTTAGCGCACAGCTAAGTAGCTGGGGTGAGCCTTGGAGGGAAGCATAGCCCTGACCCCACCCTGGTTATCCGGCGGTTAAATCCAGTGTGCAAATCCCGGTGTGCAAAACCCAGTGTGCAAAATCAGCCTGCAAAACTTGGCGGACAAAATGTGGTGTGTAAAACCTGGGGTGCAAAATCTGGTGTGTAAAATCTGGTAAACCTCAGCGTGCAAAACACAGTGCGCAAAACCCAGTGGTGCAAAACCCAGTGCTCAAATCCCGGTGTGCAAAACCCAGTGCGCAAATCCTGGCATGCAAAACCCAGTGTGCAAAAATCAGCATGCAAAACCTGGTGGACAAAATGTGGCGTGTAAAACCTGTGGTGCAAAACCCGGCGTGTAAAACCCAGTGTGCAAAAGCTGTCGTGCAAAATCCAGCACATAAAACCCAGATGTGAAACCCAGCGCATGGGCTCAGCAGGTCTGCCCCAGGACAACTGGGTGTGCTGGCAGCTCTGCGCCCAGTGGGAAGCAAAAGCCAAAGTGTTTTTGAGAAGCTCTGACAGCGGCTGGAGAGGCAAAGATGAAAGTTTCTCATGTGAGTAGAGAAAGGGGAAGAGGAAACGCAGCAGAAAATGAATTTGTGTGAAACCCCGCTGTCTTCCACATTCCCCGCCGGTTGGAGGAGTCCTGCAGAGGATTCTGCTCAGAGCAACGTGGCTCCTTGGTCACATCTGCTTTTCATAAGGGCACCAGACAATCCTGGCTCTGCTGCTTCACCCCGGGCCAGGTTTGGTTTCTCTGTTCCCAGTATGACCATGGCTTTCAAAAGGCAGGAGCAGCTCTGGATGCTCCTGTGAAATGCATGGCAGAGGCTCGATGCTCCTTCGCTTAAGGGCTTGGCGCTGCCTGAAGGCAAAGCCTTCCTGGGGTGTTCATGCTGGGCCATCCGAAATACAGCCTTGCACCTGAGCGACGACAGAGGCGTGTCATGGACAGACAGACGGACAAAGAGCAGGTACAGAAAATGACAGCAGCCATCAGGCTGGGCCTTCGGTTTTATTCCAGTTCCCTCCTGCTGAGCTCCCAGGGATGAAGGCAAAATCTGCAATACAGCAATTTGTGCTGGCAGAAGGAATGAGAAGTGGAGAAGCCTGAGCAGCCCGGCAGGTCCAGCTCCTCCTCTCTGCAAATGAGCAGCGACTGCAGGGGATCAGTTTTTGACCTTACCAAGTCACCCGGCCCATCCCTTACTCCTGGAAAAGCAGCATTTAACCCACCAGAGCTTTATGCGCCTCCCTCCAAGCCTGCACCTGGACGCACGTTCATCGCCACGCGGGTGGTTTTGCTCACACCTCTTTCCCCGCGAGCCTTTCTGCGGGGTTATCCCTGCTATTCATCCGTTAGAGTCGCCGGGATAAACTTTCTTCTTTTCAGTTCTCCGAAGGGAGAACTTGAGAATCTTGGAGCGGTGTGGGCACAAGCTGTGCTGCCGCTCAGTGGCAACGCACAGGAGGGTTCCTTGCTTTGCCAGTGGATTTTCAGCCCCTTCGAGGCAAGGAGAGGCTTTTTTCTTGCTTTTTTTTTTTAAACCAGATTCATTTATTACTTACATCATAAATATGTATATGTTTATTACAGGTGCTACAATACCATTGTATATTTATAATATATACAAATACTTTTCTTTATATTTTTGTATTTATAAATTCCTATTTATATGTTTATGTACTGTCTACATTTGTCTATCTATACCAGCAACGTAAGATCACTTGCACAGCCCGGCAGTGGTTGACCCCAACGCGCTATAAATTAACATTAACCCATCGGTACCTCCCTGGCCACATCCCCGGCCTGGCCACGCCCCTTCGCGCATGGCCACACCTCTCACCTGTAACCACGCCTGCTCGTACCCCCGTGGCCACGCCCCCCACGCACGGCCACACCTCTCACCTGTAGCCGCGCCTCCTCGCAGCCCGTGGCCACGCCCCCCGCACGGTCACGCCCCCGGGGGAATCCCTTCCCCGCCAGCCCGCGCGCCGTGGGTGTGCGTCACGTCCGGCGGCGGGACCCGGAAGTGGTGCTGTGGGCGGTTGCTATGCGGCGGGCCGGCGGCGGGCCCGGAGGTGAGGGCGGCGATGGCGGCTCCGCGGCTGGGCAGGGGGAACGGGCGGCGGGGGCGGGGAGGATCCCTCCGGGTTGCCGGGACAGGCTCCCGCCGCCGGGGGTGCTGCCGCGTTTGTAGCGAGCGGAGTGGGGGGGTGAGGCCAGGCCGGGCGGCCTGCCCGCAGCCGGGCCCCTGCCCGTCCTTCTCCTTGCCGGTGCCCGCTGCCCGGTTGTGGGCGCAGGGACTTCGTGGCACCTCGGGCGGGTGTTTTCGTAAGGATGGGGCGTGTGCGGAAGGGCTGTGAGACCAGCTGGGGGTGGTGGAGAAAGAGCCAGTCCTAACCTGGGCAGAAGTGTCAGCATTTACGCGGCGGTGTGGGGTTTTATGTTGTTTTTTTTTCTTTTTTTTAAATGTCGTTGATGTTATGTTACGCTTTGGGGACTGGCTTTGCAAGTGGTGGCAGAGCTGTAGGTACTCGGTTAGTGAAGGCCCTGGGTGGCAGGCGGGCTGCTGCATGGCCAGCTTTGGCCTCCCTGGGCAGAGGGGTGCGTGGCCGCGCTCCAGGAGGCCTCAGCCAGAGCGGGTGGGCCAGGGCTGCGTCCAGCCGGGCTTTGACTGTCCCTGGGGATGGAGACTGCACAACCTCTCTGGGCAACCTGTTCCACTGTCCCACGGTTTATTTTCTTATGTTCAGGTGCAATATTTCAGTTTGTGCCTAGTGCCTCTTGTCCTGTCACTGGGCGCCACTGAGAAGAGTTTGCTTCCTTCTTTACATTCTCCAGTCATGCATTGATGCGCCATCTCTTCCCCAGGCAGATCAGGCCCAGCTTTCTCCATTTGTCGTCATGTAAGAGCTGCTTCAGTACCTTAATTGTCTTTGTGGTCCTACACTGAACAATGTGTATTTCTTGTCCTGGGGAGCCCCAGACTGCACCTACCACTCCCAGTGTGGCCTCCCCAGTGCTGAGGAGAGGGGAAGGATCAACGCCCTTGAATTGCTGGCAATGCTCTTCATAATGCTGGCTAGAAGATCATCTGTGTTTTATTTTTAATTCAGGAACAGAAGAGCGATGGCTTTGAGAATGACTGATGTGCCTTGTCAGGCTGAGGTGGCCAGCTGATGTTTGAACACCAGCTGGTCTTTCTCTCTGCTGGCCATATCCCAAAATGGGGAGGTAAGAATCCGAAAGGAACTGTCAAATTAAACTGTCGCGTCTTTTAAGTGAAGGACAGAGAACCTTATCATGAGTTCATGGCTAATGATTAATTCAAAGCTGTGAATAGTGCCTTGAGTACACTTGACCATGAGCAAAGCAAAGCTAGAGCAGAGCAAAGTAAATAGTTTTATGAAGAATCTGTTTGTCCTTACCTTGTGTCAGAGTGCATTGTGCTTCTTTTTGGTAATAAAGCCCATTCTTAAAGCAAATTATCTTCTTTGAATTTTAGGATCAGCATCTCATGTTTGCTTCCTGCTTCCTGGCACTTCAGCATCTCTCCAGTGGGATGTCCACGTATTTTCAACACCACCTTGCGACAAATCGTTGTGATAGGAATACTTGCTGCTGCTGTCTCTTTGCTTTACTACTCTCTGGTAGTCATCCGCAATAAGTATGGACGTGCATACAGGGACAAGAGATTCCACAGGTGAGAGCTGGAAAGACTTTTGTGGAAAGGAAGGAAATGGAGTGTTGGTGTGAAAGAGAAAACGCTGAAAAGTCACATCTGTAAAATACATGAATGGGGTGGAAAAAGCATGAGGAAAACTTCCTGCTTTTTTATGAAGCTTTCTCTAAGTTGATTTTAATTAATCAGTAATTCCACTTTCTAATATCTTATGTACCTGTAGCAGCTTGGTAAATCTATAGGTGCAAAAGTTACTGTGTAATACATTATTTTGGAAATTACTTTTAGTATTCTGGGAATTTGATTCTTATTAGTGGCACTTCACTTTTTTTCTTCAGCGACATTACAGTAGTGGAAACTGTTGTCCTGATTTGAGTCTGATGTCAAGAAAAACTTCCGTATGGAACTTAATTGCCATGTAGTAATGCCTGATTTTCTTCTAGATATCTCGCCCGAGTAACTGACACTGAGGCTACAGATACAAACAACCCCAATCTGAACTACGGAATCGTTGTGGACTGTGGCAGCAGCGGCTCTAGGATTTTTGTGTATTGTTGGCCAAGGCACAATGGTAATCCACATGATCTGTTGGACATCAAACAGATGAGGGACAAAACCAGAAAGCCAGTGGTTATGAAAATTAAACCAGGTACTGGAAAGAAATCAGTTTTAGATGCAATTTGCTAGATAGTTGCCTATCCTAACTCTGCTTTTTCAAACCCGGTATTTAAAGTGTCTGGGTAAAGGACACTTGCAAGTTGTCAGCATGGCACTCCTCCAGATTTCTTCGGGCTTGGTTTGCAGAGAGCTTTGTTCAGCTTTAAAGGTTGAAATATGACACTGATGGGCAGGAGGGCGAGGTTTCTCTGGGGACTAAGACAGTTGCCGGTTCAGTTGTCAGTTAACTTGGTTCTGTTTGTTTAGTGAATAAATAATTGGCTTTCTGTAAGGCTATTTGAACCAATTATATAAATAGTAATGTATTTAGTACAGGGTTTTGTTCATTGTTTAGAGGATGCTAAATTGTTAGTTTCAATCTTATTTTCTTATTTCTGTAGTTAATTTCCTGGGTTTGGCTTGGGGTTGTTGTTTTCTTCTCTGTGCATTATCTGTGGTTATCAAGATTTTCCAGGAAATGCCCAAAGCTTGAGCTGCTTCACTCTCCTATTTATCTGTTTCACTAGGCATTTCAGAGTTTGCCAGCTCTCCTGAAAAGGTCAGCGATTATATTTCCCCACTTCTGAGCTTTGCTGCCGAACACGTGCCACGTGCAAAACACAAAGAGACTCCTCTTTATATTCTGTGCACTGCAGGAATGAGGATTCTGCCAGAAAGGTTATTGGCTGTCTTATTTTTAGCATTTAGAATAGCAGTCCTGGTGTGTCTGACTATTTTTAACTTCAAAATGTAATTTTGCAGCCAGCAGAAGGCAATACTTGAAGATCTGCTCACTGATATTCCCGTGCATTTTGATTTTCTGTTTTCGGACTCGCATGCAGAGGTTATTTCAGGGAAACAGGAAGGTAGGTTAACATCAGAAAAATTATCTTTGAAATGTTTATAACTTTCACAGTATAACTTGGATCATTTTATTTTTGTTGCTTTTTAAAATTCTGGTTTGGTTGAGAGACCTTGTTCTTCAGTAGCAACATATGGAGTGTGGAGATGATCATCTGCTGTGATCTTCTAACTTGTCTAAATGTTTTCTAATTAGCAGTGAAAATAACTTATATGTGTTTAGCAGGAATTCTAGTCCATTTTCTCTGGTTTTGGGGAGGGAGGGGCGGAGATAAGGTATAACGTTCTCGATGGAAGAAACTTTGCAGGGAAAAATGGTTTCTAAAGAAGCAACATTTTGATGTGGTCAACTCACTAGAGTTAGCTTAAAAACATGTTAAAAGCTAACCTGCTTTCTTTGAAATTTACACATCAGACTGTCTTTAATACACTGAATTAGGCTTTTTATCATAGCTCTGACTTGGGAGAGGAGGACTAGAATAATTTGTCAGGAATGTTTAACTTCTAAGTATTTTATATAGTAAAATATGAGCAGTAACATATCTTAACTCATATGCAAAAAATCCCTCTTTGTTTTTAAGATTATATGTACCAGGTATTCCTGAAATGTCCAAATATGTTTTCTTATGCACGTAGGAGTATATGCATGGATTGGCATCAACTTTGTTCTTGGAAGATTTGAACACACAGATGATGGTAAGTATTTCAATTGTCAATTGGATTTTAGGAAGGATTTTAAGCACGTTCCTGTGCACTGTTGATGGAATGTTTTTAGAGAGAGATATTGGTGTATAGTGCGTGTGCTGATGTTGGCTTACTTTGTATGTGAAATTTCAGAGATCTGCATTACTACAAAAAAGTTAACTGGAAGCAGTGTGCTGCTGCTTTAGGCCCGTCCTAGTTGTATTTCTTAATGCCTTTTTATTGTTTTATCCAGAGGATGAAGCGATTGTGGAGGTGCATGTCCCAGGCAGTGAAAACAAAGAGGCTATCTTCCGTAAGAGGACAGTGGGTATTCTTGACATGGGCGGAGTGTCGACTCAGATAGCATACGAAGTCCCTAAAACTGTAAGCTTTGCCTCTTCACAGCAGGTTATTATCTGTGCAACTTTCTTCTTTTCCTTTTGATTTATTTTAATGCATATTTGTTGTTGTTTTGTTTTTGTTTTGAGTCCTGTTCTTCATTACATCACATTCCAAAACCAAGGCAAGAAAAGATGGCAAATACAAGTCCTTCATCAGCTAAGCAATTCATTTGTATTTTGTTCATTCAGAAAGTTTATTTCAATTAGTATAATTTGATACTAATTTTTAAGTTTAAGTGGGCGTGCATTGTTTGTGTGTGTATGTATGTACAATTTTTAAATTTGTGTTATAATTAAGAGACTGTATTCTGGAGTTTGGAAACCAAACGTGTGGTGATTCTTATATAAGAACTTATATAAGATACGCCTTTTCCTTCAGGCTGGATTGGTAGAAACTGAATTAACAGGACATGGGAGTAACAGTACAGTTTGTTTAAATATCACTTACATACTCAGCACAGTTCATCTGTTGTAGGAAGCAAATTTCTTTGTTGCAAGTCTTGGAACATAAATTGCTTTAACTTCAATCCACAGAGTTTGAGAGTAATTCCTGAATTTTTGAAGTTGGTTGACCTCCCAATTACGAAATTGAGAAATTATCTAAAGTAAGACTAGTATAAAAGCCCTATGTTTTGACTCTCTGCACTGTTACAATGATGTATATATTTATTTTTTTTAAAACCTTCCTGTGAAATGATGCATTTTCATTATTACAGGTTTTAATAACTACACTGCCTTTCAGACAGATGGTGTAACAAATAGTTTGGCCTGTTAAAAGAAAGTACAGGCATTTCGATTCAGAGCAGATCGCCCCAGTTAGATATGAATGGGAAATAGGAAGAGTTGCAGTCCGTTGGTGATGACTGTTGTATGGCTCTGTCTGAACATAAGCTGATATAAAATAGGTATTCTGGTCATGGAGCCTCCCCAGGTTCCCAGACAGAATGACAAGAGTCAAACAACTGACTGTGATGCTTACAGCTCCAGTGCTGTTTTTCATTTACAATGTCAGCTGGAAGCCCTGCAGCGTTACGCCACGTTTCTGAGTGCCTTCTACATGAAGTGCTTCCTCTACGCATCTCTTAAATACCTGCAAGTGACTGATGTGTGGTATGTGAGGAGACCTGAGTGACTGATGGGTCTCCTGAGCACTCCAGATTGGAAAAGGAAGAACAGCTCTGCTGGGCAGCCCTTAAATCTGTCTAGCCTAGCAATGAGTAGTACGGGGACTCAGAAAAGGTAGCGCTGAGTTTAGTAGCCACAACATGTTCTTTTTTATAGGAGAAGATACTTCAAGGTCCATAGTAGCAGTTGCTGGCCTTTACAGTTCCTTGAGTATCAGTAGTGATAATGCAGTTCTCTGCAATCAGTATGCTTTGCTCTCCCTATGAAGTAGAAGGTATGTGGACCCATGAAAAGCAAAATAGATGAGTAGTGAATAAAGTTTAAAGATGTCAAGGGCATCCCGTTGTCCAGAGAACTCATCTTTAGGTTCTGGTTCGTATTGTTTATACTTTATCTTGGTGCTTGTGTTCCTACAGGAGGAAGTAGCCAAAAACTTACTTGCAGAATTCAACTTGGGCTGTGATGCTCATCAAACTGAGCACGTATATAGAGTCTACGTTGCAACATTCCTTGGCTTTGGAGGAAATGCAGCACGCCAGAGATATGAAGACAGTCTGTTTACCAGTACAGTGCTTAAAAACAGGTAGCTGGCTGCAGCCCCTTGGGGTTAAGGGTTCTGTGCGTCACCAGGCTCAGTAACCCCTTAACTTGAATACATTTACTAAAGTGTCCTGACAAAAAACTTACTTTCTACAGCGTGCTGCATGCAATGCTGAAGTTTCTTTAATGGAGGATGCTTTTGACCGTGTTGTATCTCAGAGCTTGATGTTTCTGATACGCAGTTGCTACTGTGCTTGTTCTTTTATACAGACTGCTGGGCAAACAGACTGGCATGACTTCTGATTCGCCCTACCTAGATCCTTGCCTGCCCCTGGATGCTCAGGATGAGATCCAGCGGAACGGACAGATAATGTATTTGCGGGGAACAGGAGATTTTAATCTGTGTCGTGAAATTATTCAACCGTTCATGAATAAGACTAATGAAACACAGACATCTCTTAATGGTGTCTATCAGCCTGTTGTGCACTTTCAGAACAGTGAATTCTATGGTTTCTCAGAGTTCTACTACTGCACCGAGGATGTGTTACGCATGGGAGGAGATTACAATGCTGCTAAATTTACTAAAGCTGCAAAGGTAGCGTTCTTGAGAGAAACTTTTTCTAATTCAAAACAATACTCTCCAGAAGTATTTTGTTCTGAAATTCTTGAGACAAAAATCTACCTTTAAAGATCCAATAAGCTCTTGCAGGGCATCTCTTATCCTCGTTGGGTTTTCTTTCGGAATACTTGTTTTAAGGCACAATAGTAAAATTGACTGACTCTAGAGGTAACGGGAATCATGGTAGTCAAGTTCCAGCAGAACCATTAATAATGGGGAAATCCATGCTGCTTCCACCCCTTGCTTCTTTTTAGGAATGTCTTAGTTGTTGTTTAGAAAAAGAATTCCTTTTCCTCTTGCTTTATACATTTTGTACCAGTTTCCTGGGTGTTAGTCCTAACAGGGATCAGTCTGTTCGGGACAGTTTAAAGTAAGGCTACAACATAAAGTAGAAGAATATGACCTGCTTTGTCTCAGTGCCTTAAAAATAGGTTGTCTATTTGTCACCTCCAAGTGCATGAGCAAGGAATTTTAAGTGCTACTGGATATTAATTTAACCATAAATGTCAAGTGTGGATCAAAATGTTACAGAAAATACCACGACATTTTTGTCTTTTCCTGCTTTCAGTATTTACAGAGCCTCTTCTGTGGCATTTTTTCTTCTCAAGGCAGAAGCAATGTTAAAGTCTTTTTTTCTTTTTTTTTTTTTTTCTTGAAGGATTATTGTGCCACTAAGTGGTCTGTCCTAAGAGAACGTTTTGACCGTGGTCTTTATGCATCACATGCTGATCTCCACAGATTGAAGTAAGTATTTGTGTTTGTACAGCAAATTCATTCATGCAGAGTTGCCAGGGAGAGGTCAAGGTCATGTCCAAATAATCCATTTAACGAAATCATTGAAAGTGTGAATATAACCTTAAATATTGCATCAGCCATTAAAAAAAATACTGATAATTGTGTCTAACTGTGTGCTCCCTGGTCCTCTGAGACTTTGTAACTGCTGGCCTGACCATATGCCACTCTTTCTATAGGTACCAGTGTTTTAAGTCTGCCTGGATGTATGAAGTATTTCACAGTGGTTTCTCTTTTCCTGCGAGTTACAGCAATTTGAAAACAGCTCTGCAGGTTTATGATAAAGAGGTGCAATGGACTTTGGGAGCCATTCTTTACCGAACACGGTTTTTACCTTTAAGGTACCAGTTGTTTTCTTAAGTGTCTGGAAAGAGCGTTTGGGTGGAAGGTGTGGGAGTTCTGAGAAGGGAAGCAGTGCAGTGGTAGCAAAGCAGCTGACAGACAGGGGGAGACAAGACACTGTTTCTAGTGCATTATATCTAACCTCAGTACATATTTGGTAGCTCAAGTAATGCTTTATAAAGACAGTTCTACTAAAGTGGGCTCTCTTTCCTGTGGTGAGATAGTTGGGAGGCAGTCAGATTTGCAACTTATGTCCGTTATCCCTTTGCTTCTTTTCAGAGACATCCAGCAAGAAAACTTCCGTGGAAGTCATTCCCACTGGAGGAGCTTCTCCTTTGTTTACAATCACTATTTGTTTTTTGTCTGTTTTCTGATTGTGCTGCTCTCCATCCTGCTTTACTTGCTAAGGCTCAGACGGATCCACAGACGAATGTTGCATAACAGTTCGTCTACTTCCCTATGGATTGAGGAAGGCATCCCACCACAGAAGATTACAGGACCCTTATGAGATGCTGTGATGGAGAGCTTTTATTGGACTTGCTACACAAAAAGCCATTTTTGCCTCAGGGTTCCTCCTTTTTGTCCCTTTTAAACCATTGAAGAAGCAGATTGCCCAGAGTGTGTAATACAGCTAGGCTTTGGAAATATGGGAAAATGGGGTCAACTTGGCTTAGTCTCATTAGACAATATCTGCCAAATTTTTTTTTTTTCTGTATTGCACTTTTGTGTGTAATGGGACGAGCAAAGGCTCGTTGTCAGTAGATGAGTAGCAGCAGCTTAAGCTACGCATGGTAAGAGAATGAGTGTGAATTCTCATCCTCCGGGTGAGATTGCGAGACACTGTTAGCTAGGATGAATGAGGACTGTTTTTATTTTCTTTTCCAGATTCCAGGATTGATATTACTTCTCAGTTCTGAGTCTCCTCAGTCAAAGAAACGGAAGTGCAGGGTTTTCAAAAGCAGTAAGAAAACAACCGTTTAGGACAGCTTATCTGATTATATTCTGGAATAAGTACTGTGATGGAGAAGAAAAATCTATTGCACCGAATGCTGTGCTTCCACAAAACTGCTTAAATCAGTTTTGTTTATTTGTGACGGTTTCCCCTTTTTCTGTCTTGGAAGCTGCATCCTCCTAGTGGCAAAGGTCACTATTTTTTAATCTTTTATTTCTATTTCACAATCATTCAGAGAGATCTCTGAAACTCCAGTAAGGTGAAGACAACTGGAATATGTCTAGGCTTTTGTTCCTGCTAGAGTAGACATGCACAGTGTCTTTTTCTGGTTTTGAGTACTTTGCTTTGTTAATTTATATTTTATTTAAAACTGTTAATTTTACTTGGAAGTAAATTTGTCCATGATTAAAAGTGGGATTTATATGAACTTCTGGCGTGTGGACATTTTATTGCACAGTATCACTTCTGTTCTCACTGTTTGTATCAAACTGGCAAAACTTTTTTCTCTTCTAGTAGGTGTGAATATGTTGGAAAACTGGATGCTGTTTCCAGTATTGGAGAGCTAGATGCATTGATACCATTTTTGTCATATTTAAGTTGCAGTTTATTCATCTAAAAATCTAGATACTTCAGATTGGTTTATAGTCTACTTTTGATATGCTTGCTTTTGCCTTTGTCTAGAAAGCTTAGGCTTGATCTAAATTTAGGTGCTAAACTTCCTGTTCCTTCTATCCAGGGTGTCTGCTAGATGGCTGTGTTGCAGTCATAAAAATTAACTGGATATGTGGTGGAATTCTGAAATGGCAACAGAATCTTTTAACTGAATGTTCAGAAATAACAAATAGCATCTTCCTTCTATAAGGAATTTTTGTACCTGACAAGTCTAAGCACTTCAGCAGAGAGTCTGGTTTGCATTTTGCTATTTTTTGAGCACCATCTGAGTGAATGCTCAGATAATACACCTCTCGCTTCTCATGTCTGGAACTGTGGTACAAACTTGCTGCACTCGTAGGCTGATAAGAATTAGCAGAAAACTGACACTGCCAATTGTTACAGAGCCTGTACTTCCTGTTTCTGAGATGGCTACAACTAGAGTACAGAGCCTCTAATTGCATGCTTCGATAAAGCAGCCCCCTTTGGGCAAGGGCTGATGTTAGTGGTAAAGTGGAGAGGAAGTATCAGTGTGTGACTTGGAAAAATCCAGGCAGATGCCAAGCATCTCTTAGTAGAAAAGAGAGTGTCGCAAATGCAGCAAGCAAAAAAAAACCCAACCCAAAAAATGCTAATAAAAAACATGAAAATCATAAAAGCATGAAAAAGTTGAAGGAAGAATGTTTCAGGCCTAAAACAGGATTTCTTTTTAGGTGCTGCAGCATTTTCTTTTTAGTGAAATTCTGACCATGTAAGACAATGAGAAAAAAAAAAAAAAAAGCCACCCAAAACCTAAACCCATACATCTTAATGTATAACTGCAAAATTGATTCTTTAATTGAATCAGAAGCTCATTCTTATTAAATAATGGACAGTCAGCGGGGGGGGGGGGGGAAAAAAGCTATTCTGGCCTTAACTAAGGTGGTATAATCACTTTTGAAAGGAAAAACAAGTCTAAAGTCATATAACATGTCCTGATGGATCCAAGTACAGGATTTCGATACTGCTTTCTTATTTTGTAGGATGGACAAACTGTGGCTGTGCACAATGAAGTGTATGTTTTATGGCCCCCAGAGCTTAAGAAGATTTTGGTAAAACAAACTGCAGCTAGCAAGCTTGGTGAATACAGTAGGGACAGGTACAGCGTTGGGATAATGGAGACAGATTGGTCTTGTGCTTACACAAAGCATCATGTGCCTGCTTCAGGGTTTCCACACATACTTTTGAAAGCACCACGCTGGGGAATGAAGATATGAAGCAGGAGTGTTTGGAATGTGAAGAAAGATAAGATGTACGGTGGTGAGAAAGTGATCAGGAAAATGGGGCAGGAGTAGGCAGGATGCTTTCCATGTACCTATGACTGCTCTGCAGTGTACACTGTCTTATTTTTTCCTTTGTCTTTTTTTTTTGCTCCAGGAAGTTAGCAGTGTTGTCCTGATTTTTCTAGTGATTCTGTTCAGGAAGGGCAGAATAAAGATGACTCAATATACATATATCCTCCTGTAATGGTAAAAAGATACTGCCAGTAGAGATTGTCTGTGGGAGCAGCAACTGTTCATTAAAAACCTAAGCAGTGCACGAAAACACAGATTCAAACACACCTAAAGGCTAGAAACTTGAGCTTTTTTCATTCATACAAAATAGCACCGAGGCCTGTTTTATATCCGTATTTTCCCCCCTTAATCAGATATTGGGTGGTAAACTGCTGGGTAAGGTGAGCACAGGTGTCGAGGTGCTTCAGAGTGAGGTGGGGGTGAATGTTATCTTCAAAACTAAAACCAGCTGGCTCTTGGGTGCTTGGGGACTTGCTTTCTGAAACCCCTCTGGGTCTTTAAGAAATCTCATGAGATGCTCAGCTGCCCCTCCCTGGGCAGGAGAAGGGTCAATTTGTCATGGTAATACCAGTCACCAAGTCTCACTTTCATAGCTTGTTTTTGGTATTTTCTTCCAATGAACTGTTTCCCTCGTTACTTCTTTGATTTATATTTCTTTGTGCAGGTTTTCTGCTGCATTATGTCTTTATGGTCATGATATTAACTGAAAGATTTGAGGGGAGTAGGCCGAGTTTCTTTAAATCCTGACTCTCGGCCGTTACTGTCCATGACCACACAGTCTTGCACCCTGGTAGGAGTGCGGTGAGCTTCAAGGGGTTCAGTACACTGGGAAAGCAGTGCTGGGACCCCATTTACTTCCAGCAAGCTGGGAGTTACCCCCCACAGGTACAGAGGGCACATTGAGAGGCAGCTGAGTTAATTAAGTTTCCTAAAGGTGCACAGGTGAGAGCCATCATAGTCATTAAAAGCAAGAGCCTATAAGGGCTGGGAGAACACTAGGCTGAGGAAGAGCAGATGGTGCTGTGCTTTGGTGCTCTTTGGACGTTTTACTGCTTATCAGAGGTGTTCTGGCTTCAAAGTGAAGATTTTCTTCTGTTGAAGAAGGGGTGGGATTATGTTTTTGTTGCTGTGGAACCATGGAGAAGGTGCAGAAGTGTGGTAGAAGGCTGTGGTGGGGAGCAAAGCGTGCAGGGTGATTTGCAGAGAGGAACTGAAGTGGAAAACCAAGCCTAAAACTGTCTGGTGGTTTTGGATTGATCTAGAAGCTATCCTGGGGTAAATTGCTATTGCTTGGAGAGAAGTGTGTGTGCTGAGAGGAGTTTTAGTCTCTGGATCTAAAAAGGTTGATTGTCCTTGGTGCGTACCTTTGGAAAGAGTAGAGCACCAATGACTTGAAACCTCTGGTTTTTGCCTTGTTCAGGAGGTGGTTTTAATGCTGTAACTGGGATGTGCTTGGGTTTTGGGTATGGAAGAGAGTAGGATTTTTGTTCTGGAAAAGTGTCATTTAGGAGAAAAGACATTTATAAAACCAGCGTTGAGTACCAGCCTGACCATCAGGGCAGTGTAGGGCAACAAAAGGGTGCTGAGCGTGTCAGCCTGATTATATCTGTGTGTACAGCTTTGTGGTGTGATCAGAGAGTATGTCTGTGCAAGGGAGCAGCTGGAGCACCCTGCAGATCACTCTGCTCCCATAGTCTTGCTGCTGGTGTGTCTGCAAGGTCAATGGGATGCCCTGTGGGGTAGGATTGGGATTAGGGAGCAGACTGCTCCTCACAGGCATCTCCTCCGGGGTGCTCCAAGTGCTGCTGATTAATGAGACTTTGGTCATCCATCCCCTGGTGCAGGGGCGAGCTCGAGCCGTGCACCATCCCTCTGTGCAATGCAGCACAAGATTTCAGCACAGGGTCTGTGTGAGGCCCTTCCTGTGAGGGCTTTGTGTGAGTTCATGGAGTGTTTGTGTTTGCTATATTGAGGCTGATGGATGTGCGGGTGCCTTTAATTGCTTTAAGAGCTTCAGGCCCACAAGGCATAGGGAGGAGGTACAGATTTTCAAAAACAATCAGCTGAGTGCCGAACCTAAAGGCCTGGATTTACAAGACTGCTGTGCTTTTTGGTGCTTGAACTATCCTGTGACAAGTGCTTGCAAATTTGGCTCTTACCTTTGAAAATCTAGCTGTAGTATCCCAATAATTAGAATTACAGTGTGTGTGTGGTGGTTTTTTGTTATTCAGGTTTTTTCCCCTCTCCAGGGGCACTGGAAGAGGAGGAAGAAGTTTGTGACATCTCCTGAGGAGGAGACTAAAACCGTATTATTCCTGAAGCTCTTTTTGCAGCTCCAGATGAAGGGGAGGGGGAAAAAAAAAAAAAAAAAGGAAGCCTTTTCATCCCACCCCTGGACAAGCCTGCTCCAAAGAGACTACAGTAAGCAACCCCACCAGGGAAACATGATTCCTTGAAGAGACTTAGTGATACTTGTTTTCACTCAGTGCCTGTTCCTGGGCTCAGATTCCCAAGTCACAATGGTAATGTTTATCTGTTTGTGTCTGCTGCTGCATTAACATGCTTTATTTTCTTTCTTCTGCTTCTCCTGTTCTCCTTGTCCTTTCTCCAGGTCCATTAAGGACAGGTAAGGCATGCAGAAAAACACAGGGGGGAGGCAAGGGCACTGCTCTTTGACCTATCCCAGTGACCTGGAATGGGCAGGCGAATGGTACTGAAGCTTTTGGCTTCATGGCTTCTTGAACGTATCACTCTTCTTTTTTATCGTTGTGTTTACGTGTGCAGAAAATGTCCAAAGCAAACAAGGCCGAACATGGCCCCTAATGGCAGAAGTGGTTGGGAGACAAAAGCATACCCATGAGAAAGTCGGGGTATGATGGAGAGGGTGGGGAAGGGAAGGAAGCACATGGCCCCTTCAGGAACAGCAGCCCTGCAGCTTGTGGAGACAAAAGGGTTTTCTGTCCCTTCGCCACTTAGGGAAGGGGACAGTCAATAGGAGTGACTTGATGGCCTGCCTGATCAGGGCACCTTGTTCTTACTTGTCCCATTGTTTCTGCCATTGTTGCTACTAAATAACGCATGAAGCTTATTGAAAGCCAAAATGAGCTCTTGCTGTGTCCCTCTCCCTGGGCACCAGCCTCTGTGTGTGTTGTGTTCAGTTCAGGGGACCTGGTCCTGACAGTTGTTTTTCAGGTCACCCTCCCTTTATTTAAAGAATGGGGAGGATGACAATGACTTTCTCGCTTGCTTGTGCTTGAAGGCCTTTGGTTTGGTAGGAAGTGATGCTGCGGAATTGCTTGGGACTGGGTTAGCAAAGTCATCCTAGATGATGTGTGATTTGTTTTGCTGGAGATACTTTTTAGAGCCCTAATCTTCAAAAGGGAGCGCTTGGCACTCTAGTACCATGTAAGATATAAATGCACTGAAGACACAAATGTGACGT